TCTCTGACTTAGAGAATACGTATATCATGATCGCCAAAATGTGTGTTAAAGGTGCTTGTGGTGTGTTTTCAGACAGAGACTAGGAAGAGGTTATTGGAAGCATGAGAAAAGGCGATCCTAGTTTACAATCAGCAAAGGTTTGAGGCTTTGTATTATGTTCTGAGTGTCTTTGAGAAAGTAGAAATTGTAAAGTGATGAACTTGCACATGTAGCTGATTTCTAGTGTTGGAGCTCAGGGCACTATACTCCAAAGCCAGGGTTCAAAGTAGTTTCAGGTGAAAAATTTTCTCTGACGTTCTTGGTCCTCCTGTCTCTCAGTCCCATTCAGCTGCGGGAAACAAACAGAGAGACAGATCTCTCTTCGAAGATGGGCCTGAGAAACCAGAAGCTCTTTTTCTAATTTTGTAATGTTTTCACATTTTCATGTAAAAACTGTTGTGAAGGAAATGATCTAACCTATCTTGTTTGAATGGAAGTCACAAGACTCCCATTCCAGAGAATCCTGCCATGTCTGGAGAAGGACTGTGTGCTCAGATAGGCCAAGCAGAGTCTGAAGGTTGACCTTGCCAGGTTTCCCCACTCCGTATTAGCATGAGATCATAGCCTTTTTGTCCATCAATGACTCTACACAACTGTCGTACTCCTTTGAGTCCAGGCATAAAAATAGATATTTCCATGCCATATCTTGACTGTATTAACACTAAAGGCTCCTGGGGGATGCCTCGAATGAGCTGGTATGCCTTATGTCCTATGGATCTGCCTTTTGTGACTTGAGTTTTCAGCGAAACTTAGGAGGACCAGGGGGAGTCTTGGCCAATACACTGCCACCTGAGTGAAGTGTTTAGGATTTGAACTGGTTACTGTTAGATGTATTATAATAAATGGGAGAGAAAGAGGAGAAATTAGCCAAGGAAGCACGGAGAAAAGAGGCCAGCATTGGATGATTCAGAAGGTACTCGAAGTATGCAGATAACTGGCCCTGAAACAGGTGCGGGTGTGCCTGGAAAATCATTGGCCTGAAAGGAGGCATGTGTCTCACGGATCCAATCAACCATCTCCACAGAAGTTAGGAATTGAGATATGGGAGATACGGATATTCAAGGAAGATCTGTAGACAACTTCTTGTCTGATAGCCTGGTCTCATGTATTCCCTTGGGAAGCCAGCGATTTTTTGAAATTTTATACCAGAAAAATGTTGCCAGACTGGACTGAATGGGGACAAAAATGGGATGAAATGAAAGGAGGCTGTTGGAGTTCCTGGATTGTACCTGCAAGAAAGGGACTGAGAGTACCCAGCTGTGACCATTTCTTCATTTTCGAGACGGGGAAGTAGGACTCCAAAGTTGGATCAGAGGTTGGCGTGGCCTTCACTTCCCCGCAGACCAGGGACACGTTACTAGGGGACTGGGACATCTCTCTCTTAGTCCCAAGCAGGAGGTCACCTCCTGAGTTCAGGCATTTGTCCCACCTCCTCGGTTTCAGAGGGATGGGCTGAAGCAGCCCAGGCTGGAGGGAGAGCCCCCACCCCGCTGCCCAGCGCTTAGGGTGTCAAAGCTGTTACCCCATTGGGCCTCAAGGACAGAGCATTGAGCCCAAGCAGAATCTCTTCCATCCTTAGAATGTAACGGAATTTGCTCCCACTAGGTTTCCACAGTGCTTAGGGTCCATAAACTTGATGATTTTCAGATTTTCTTACTTTTGGTATGATAAGCCCTATCCAGTACCTGTCCCCAGCTATATTTCCAAGAAGCAGATACCTTCTCTAGCTTCAGAGGTGCAGTGGTGGGCTCCACGTCTCAGCATGAGTCATACCTGGAGACTCACCCATTCCAGATATAGAAGTTTATCAAGTGAGATATTGGAGAATTGACGTTGGACTGAGTTAAGTCTTTGGGGATATCGTGATGAAATAAATGTATTTTTCTGTGAGGGCGTTAATTTGTGCTGCTGAGTGGATGCAGATGATATATACTGAAGTATGGATGGAGTTGTGTCTCCCCAGAATTCACAGGAGCAGAACTCCTGGCCCCCAGTGTTTTAGAATGTGACCTTATTTGTGCATTGGGAGTTATACCTGACGTAAATGACGAGTTGATGGGTGCTGGCGAGTTGATGGGTGCAGCACACCAACATGGCACAAGTATACATATGTAACAAACCTGCACGTTATGCACATGTACCTAGAACTTAAAGTATAATAATAATAAAAAAAAAAGAAAAGAAAAGAAAAAAAAAAACAAAAAAAACAATTCACTCTTCTTCATATGGAACCATAAATTTTATAATAAATTTGCTTAATCAAGTGTAATAAATTTTGTAACAAAGTAGTAACAAAAAAAAAAAAAAAAGAATGTGGTATATTTGGAGAGTCTCTACACAGGTCATCTGGTTACAGTGAAGTTATAAGGGTTGACTCTACGCAACAGAGTTGGTCTCCTTACAAGGTGACAATTGGTATCCCGAACTGTGAGATAAAAAATATGTAGTGTTTATGTGGCCAGTCTCTGGAATGATTTTCAATGACCCTAGAAAAGTAACAGAATACACCTCCATCAACAGCATTAAAAACCCATACAACCCATGGAAGAACCAAAAGTACACCCATCTAATCACAAGTTTCCCTTCAGCTCCCATTGAACATCCCTGGACAATAACTCTTCCTAGTTCAGACCAGGAAACCTGATCACACATTGGGCTGTGGCTCCTCGGCTGCAGTTGCCTCCTGGCTGACACGGATCGAGTGGAGCTTGTGCTGCTCCACTGGACAACATTCCATCATCCCCATGATGCATAGAAGGCCAGTCATGAAGATTTTCTTAAACAAAAGATTCTAGCCTGAAGAAGAAGCAGAATCCAGATAAATCTAAACAAGTGAGATTTCATTACGAGGAACCTAGAATGAGCATTGTTCCTTAAACTTTTTGAGGAGTAGTTTTCTCTGTGCCGGGTTTGGGTCCTTGCTTATATTTTCAAATGAACTCCAGCTTACAGGGAAGGCTGATCAAATGCTCGACTGTACTATAACATCATTCATGCTATTTCCCTACATTGATACTTCTTATTTAATTGTTTAGGCAGTTAAGCTCTTTCCGTAGTTTGTGTTTCCTTAAGTCACAGCATGACAGCACGACTGCTCACTAGGTTCCCCTTCCACTCAGTCACCCACAGAAATGCTGTATCAAATGTGTGAGCTTCCACTTCCAATCTTCACATCAATCCACCCCTTTCCTCTTTCTTCCTATAATTCACCAGTGTCAGTCCCCTTGCCCCCTCACTCTTCACTCCCCACAAGCAAGTCAGATTTCATTGTTGACCCTGTTTTACTAATGGCCCTCTTTGATTTCTGAATTTACAAAGGGAAAACACATATTCCAGGGTAAAATATCCCAGTGGATTTGGTTTCTCAAAAGGACTTGTCTAATTACACACATGTGCAAGGGTAACTTCAGAAATTTATTGTGGTCTTAATTCACAGAAACATTGGCACTTTACAGCAAAACAGGTGGCATAATGAGAAATAAGTCACTGAGTGAGATACATGGTGTTTTGGACCAGCTACACAGCTCTATCTCTGCAAAGAAACAGAGGTTCTGTAAAGACTCTTTGGTTTGGCAAGTGTTGTTCCTATACTGGACTTGTAGGAACATTTGGCGGCACCATCAGAGGATTTACTTGCAGCTGATTTTGTGGGGTTTTTGTTGGTCTCCTTGTGCAGTAAGCACAGCTTCAACTATTTTCATAAACGTTCTCTTCAACTGTTTTCCATAACATTTTCTAACAATCTGGAAAAACAAGTAACAAATCCCAATGGGGACTTCTTGGTTCTACATCCTTTCTCTGTGGATCCCAAGCGGGGCTCTGGAGGTGACCTTCCCCCTTTCCCATCTGCAGTACTCAGGGAAGATCTGGCTACTATCCTGCCCTGAACCCATTTCCCTCTTGACCAAGGATTCCTCTTTAAATGGTGGAATAATCTATGTGGCTATGTGTTGGGCCCTCTGGGTGGTTCTTTCCCCACTTGGATGGGCTCAAAATTTTGATTTTGGCATTTATCCAGCTTTTTGTTTCATGGTTTGACTGAGAGTGCCATCCTTTACTGGTTTTGACATATGAAGGAGAAGGGGTGTTTATGAGATGTTTCAAAGTTCACAGGAAACATTTAACAAAATAATAGATTGAGCTTCAGGCACAACATAATAAATTCCTGTGATTACAATCCCAGAGTATGTTCTCTTGTCCACATCCTTAGGGACTGGAAATCAATTGAAAAGGAAAGCAATGGGAAAGTCAGCACCTGCTCTGAAATTCAGCAATACACTTATAAAGAAAAAAAAAAATGCAAAAATACGGGCACTTGGGGACCGGAAGAGAACAACGAATGGTGGCTATATTAATAACAAGAATATTAATATGCCAATCTCTTGAGAAATAGCATTATCCGACTTCTACTAATAGCTGCCAATGCTCTGTATGACTTGATGTTAGGGACGAGAACATAGATTAATCTAAGCTTTGGATTCATATCCCTAAAAGACCATGATTACAAACACTGCAAACAGAAACATCAGGTAAAGAATCACACTGCCGTTCCTTTAAACACCGGGTTGAATATCACAGGAAGGCTGCCGTGGGATCAGCTTGGGTCCTCCCCACATTGGGACAATGACTGTTGCTCATAGACTGCAGGTCACTCATTGGCTGCACCGCTGTACACTAAGGCGCAGGCTGTTCTGTGGACCTCAGTAATCCTACTGACACATACCTGGAAGTAAGGAAGGTTTCTGTTCAAAAAGAAATGAAAAAATTATTGTCAGAGCAAACAGAGAATGGTGCAATTGTGATCTCAGAGTCAGGGAAGCTGGAAAATGAATGGATTCTTAATTACTATTTAGCTACATATACACTGTAACTGGGCCTCGTTTGCTTATTTACATGGATTCATGATGAGGGAGGTGCTGAACACGTTTAGGAGGGTTACCTCTCTTCTTATGTCAGCGTATTCACTTTCTCTGTTGCCATATCGCACATAATGAAGTTCTGGAAAGTTCCACCATACAGTCGTAGGAGAATGAGAGTGAAAAAGGTAAACATCAGGACCTTGATAATATCATCATAAAATAACCGAGAAAGATAACTAATAAAAACGGCCATTTAGGAAACCGAGGAAATGAAACCCGATCAAACACCCCTACTTTCTGTGGAGCATATTGCACTACAGATATATTGGAGTTGACAGTGTTCTGCACAGTGGAAAATACTTGATAAACCACAGGGCGCCACATGCCCCACGCCGGCAGGGGTGCCACCCACCCCAACCTCCGGTGGGGTCCCTCCCCTTGGCCGAGCCACTGGTCTTTAGGGCCACGTGCAGAGGCTCCTGAAGAAACCTTTGGGTTTCCGGGTGCTCAGGTGCTCCTGGGAACCAGCGCACTTGCTTTGGTGTACCTGAGGGCGGCATTAGGTACTGGGCCTCAGCGAGCTTGCCCATCTTCCCCGGCAGCAGTAGCGCCACGGCCACCTGGATGTCCGGGAGGTGATGGTCACACGCTTGGCGTAGCGGAGCAGAGCGGCCAGCCTCGGTGGCGATGCGGTCCAATATGTCATGGACCATAGAATCCATGACACTCACGGACTCCGGGGAAAGGCTGAGGCCCTGGTGAACCTGCTTCAGCACCTGGGAAATAAGTGACAAAGCTGTCGAAGCTGTCCCTGCGGCCCGGTTGGCATGGCCTCTGCCGGGGAACCTGAGGCCTCGTCTTCTTCAGGTCGTGGAGTTGGCCTCTTTGGGCTCTTGGATGCTCTGGTCTTCCTCAGAGGTCGTCTTAGAGGAAGCCTCAGCCATGGGGCTTGGCGGCCATTAGATGGCAAGACCAGACAGTGACGGTTGTGGACCCAGGGAAGGGGGCACTGGTATGGCTGCCTGGCTCTCGTCACAGTCCAACTCAGCCATCTGATTGGATGAAGTGTCACCCAGAGGAGCCTGTCAGTCTCCTCCGTGAAGGTGATTAGATGATCCTGTTGCTTGTGTATTGGCCAATCACAGAGAAGTCTGGCCTCAGCCCCTGATACCTACCTCAGACAAAGAACACAGAGGCTTGCTCTGTCGCCCAGGCTGGAGTGCAGTGGTGCGATCTCAGGTCATTCCACCTTCTCACCTCCTGGTTTCAGCGTGCTCCTCTTCAGCCACCCAAGTAGCTTGGACTAGAGGCGTGTGCCACACACCACCAGCTAAGTTTGTGTGTGTGTGTGTATATATGTGTGTGTGTATATATATGTGTGTGTGTGTGTGTGTGTGTGTGTGTGTGTGTGTGTGTATATAGCTAAGCGTGGTTTCATCCCGTTTCCTCAGGCTGATCTCCAAGAACTCCTGTTCAGCGTTCTCCTGCCTTGGCCTCCCAAGTTGGGGATTACAGACATGGCTATTGTGTCTGATCGAGAAAACTTATTCCAAGTAAATAAAACATGATGTTGATACCCATTGAAGGATGCACCCTAAAAAAAAATCTGAGAATATTTATAAACGTGGTTACAAAACTCATACCTGAAATATTAATTAAATCATATTACACACACACACACACGGTTTACTACTATAAATAACAATTTAGAAGCATCAAAGCAGGACAAACATTAATAATCGTTCAATGACCTCATAGAATCCTTTTTCAACATTACCTCTATTATACAATTCATTTAAATACATAACAAAAACCCACAGTGCAGAAACAGCTAAATCAACAATTCAATGAACAGCACCCTTGCCAGCTTCCGAGAAACTGAAATAAGGACTCTAACTCATTTCATTTGTCTAATTCACTATTTCCCAAAGTCTACAATCTTTTTAATGCAAAGCTTAATGTTCTGTAGTATGTATCGCTTACTGATGGGCGTCAATGAGAGGATAAGCCCACTCTTGCACTGGCTCAGCTAATGCAAAGTGTCTTCAGCCCTGGGCCTGACCATTGGCTCAGAATGTGAGCAGGTGACCAGTCCTGAACCTGCAGCGTGTTATCGAGTGCTAATCCCTTAACCTTGGGAAGTGAGGCAGGAGAATGCAGCTGTAGTCCAGGAGTTCGAGACCAGCCTGAAACGGGATGAAACCACATTTACTATATACACACACACACACACACACACACGCACACACACACACATATATATACACACACACATATATACACACACACACAAAACTTGGCCAGGTGTGGTGGCACACCTCAGTCCAAGCTACTTGGGTGGCTAGAGAGCATCGCTTGAAACCAGGAGGCAGAGGTTGCAATGAACTGAGATGCTTTCCACTGCACTCCAGCCTGGGCGACAGAGCAAGCCTCCTGTGTTCCTTTATCTGAGGTAGGTATCCAGGGGCTGGGGCCCGGCAGGCGCCCTCTGTGATTGGCTAACATGATGCCCAAGCAACAGGATCATCCAATCACCTTCAATGGAGGGAGGATGGGTGTGGGCTCTGGGTGACACTTCGTCCAATCAGACGTCGAGTTGGACTGTGGCGTAGAGCCAGGCAGCCATGCCAAAGTGCCCCCTTCCCTGGTCCACAACCGTCACTGTCTGGTCTTGCCATCTAGTAGCCGCTGCCTCCGCCATGGCTGAGGCTTCTCTAGAGCGACCTCTGAGGAAGACCAGAGCATCCAAGAGCCCAAGAGAGCCCATCACGACCGTCCAGAGAGAGCGAGAGAGGCTCAGATTCCCGCCCAGGCGCCATGCCAACCGCCGCAGGGACAGCCGGGGACAGCTTTGCCGCCTATTTCCCCCAGGTGAAGCAGTTCACCCAGGGCCTCAGCCCTTCCCCGAGTCCGTGAGTGTCATGGATTCTATGGTCCATGACATATTGGACGCATCGCCGAAGCATTGCTAGCCTGGCCCTACGCCAAGCGTGTGACCATCACCTCCCGGGACATCCAGGTGGCCGTGCGCCTGCTGCTGCCGGGAAGATGGGCAAGCTCGCTGAGGGCCCAGGGCACGAATGCCGCCCTCCAGGTACACCAAAAGCAAGTGTAAGCTGTCTCAGGAGGCACCACAGGCTCCAAGCCAAAGGCTCTCTTCAGAGCCTCTGCCGTAACAGAGACCAGTGGCACCGCCAAGGGAGAGGACCCCACGGGAGGTTGGGGTGGAGCACCCTGCGTGGGGGCATGTGGCGTCTGTGGTTTATCAAGCATTTTTCCCACTGTGCAGAACACTGTCAACTCCAGCCTCTCTGTGGTACAATATGCTCCGAGGAAAAGTAGAGGGAGTGTTCCCCATGATCGGAGTTCATTTCCTCAGGTTTCCTAAATGGCCGTTTTATTAGTTATCTTTCGGTTATTTTATATGATATTATCAAGGTCCTGATGTTTACCTTTTCACTCATTCTCCACCATTCTTGTAGTGAGACTTTCAGAACTTATGTAGATATGGCAACAGAGAAAGTAGATACGCTGACATAAGAAGAGGTAACCCTCTAAACGTGTTTCAGCACCTCCCTCATCATGAATCCATGTAAATAGCAGCAGGCAGTTACAGTGTATACCATGCAGCTAAATAAAATTTTCAAGAATCCATTCATTTCCAGCCACAAACTCTGAGATCACAATTGCAGACTCATTCTCTGTTGCTCTGACAATAATTTTTCATTTCTTTTGAACAGAAACCTTCCCCTTGCGCCCCAGGTATGTGTCAGTAGGATTGCAAATTAAGCTCACAGAACAGCTCATGCCTTAGTGTGCAGCGGTGCAGCCAGTAGTGACCTGCAGTCTATGAGCAGCAGTCATTGTCCCAATGTGGGGTGACCCAAGCTGAACCCACGGCAGCCTTTATAAATATTCAACCCGGTGTTTAAAGGAACAGCGGTGTGATTCTTTACCTGATGTTTCTGTTTGCAGTGTTAATAATCATGGTCTTTTGAGGATATGAATCAAAGCTTGATTAATCTATGTTCCTTGTCCTAACATCCAAGTCATACAGAGCATTGGCAGCCATTAGTAGAAGTCGGATAATCGCTTATTCCTCCAAGAGAGATTGGCATATTAATATTGTTAATATTAATACCAAGGCTACCGATGATTATTCTCTCTTTAGGGTCCAGTCTTGGTATTTTTAAATTTTTCTATAAGTGTATTGCTGAATTTCAGAGCAGTGCTGACTTTCCCATTGCTTTCCCTTTACTGATTGATTTCCAGTCCCTAAGGATGTGGACAAAGAGAACATACTCTGGGATTATAACTCACAGAATTTATTATGTTGTGCCTTGAAGCTCCAATCTGTATTGTTTACAAATTAAATGTACCATGTGAACTTTGAAACATCTCTATAAACACCTTTCCTTCATATGTCAAAACTGACTGGATAGCTCAGTCAGAAACCATGAAACTAAAAGCTGGATAAATGCAAAAATCAAAATTTTCTTGAGTATCCGAAGTAGGAAAGAACCACCCACAGAGGGCCCAACATAGCCCATAGATTATTCCACCATTTAAGAGGAATCCTTGGTCAAGAGGAAATGGTTCAGGGCAGGATAATGCTTGAATCTTCCTGAGTACAGATGGGAAAGGGGAAGGTCACCTCAGAGCCCGCTTAGATCCACAGAGAAAGGATGTAGAACCAAAAGTCCCCTCATTGGGATTTGTTACTTTCTGTTTTTCAGATTGTTAGAAAAATGTTAGCAAACAGTTGAAACGTTATGAAAATAGTTGAAGCTGTGCTTGCAAGGAGACCATAAAAACTAAATCAGCTGCAAGTAATCCCTCTGGATGGTGCACTTAAATGTTCCTACAAGTCCAGAACAACACTTGCCGAGTAAGAGTCTTGGCAGAACCCTGTTTCTTTAGAGATAGAGCTGTGTAATGTCCAAAACACCACATCTCACTCAATGACTTCTTCTCTTCTATGCTAATTGTTTTACTGTAAAGTGCCAATGTTCTGAATTAAGACCTACAAATAATTTCTGAAATTACCCTGCACATGTGTGTAGTGGAGCAAATCCTTTTGAGAAACCAAATCCACTAGGATATTTTACCCTGGAATATGTGTTTCCTTTGTAAATTCAAGAAATCAAGGGCCATTAGTAAAACAGGTCAACAATGAAATCTGACATGGGGAGTGAAAGTGAGGGGCAAGGGACTGACACTGGTGAATTATAGGAAGAAAGAGGAAAGGGGGTGGATTGAAGTCTTGAAGATTGGAAGTGGAAGCTCACACATTGATACAGCATTTCTGTGGGTGACTAAGTGGAAGGGAACCTAGTGAGCAGTCGTGCTGTCATGCCTGTGACTTAAGGAAACACAAACTACGGAAAGAAGGCAACTACCCAAACAACAAATAAGAAATATCAATGTAAGGAAAATAGCATGAATGGGATAAGATAGTACAGTCGAGCATTTGATCAGCCTTCCCTGTAAGCTGGAGTTCATTTGAAAATATAAGCAGGACCCAAACCGGCACAGAGAAAACTACTCCTCAAAAGTTTAAGGGCTAAATGCCTATTCTAGAGTTTCCCTCGTAATGAAATCTCACTTGTTTAGATTTATCTGATTCTGCTCTTCTTCAGGCTAGAATCTTTTGTTTAAGAAAATCTTCATGACTGGCCTCTATGCATCATGGGGATGATGGAATGCTGTCCAGTGGAGCAGCACAAGCTCCACTCAAGGATCACGTGTATCAGCCAGGAAGGCACCGGCCTTGAGGAGCACAGCCCAATGTGTGATCAGGTTTCCTGGTCTGAGCTGGGAAGAGTTAGTTGTCCAGGGATGTTCAGTAGGAGTTGGAAGGAAACTTTGTGATTAGATGGGTGTACTTCTTTGGTTCTTATAGGTTGTATGCTTTTTAATGCTGTTGATGAGTGTATTCTGTTACTTTTCTAGGGCGCTGAAAAATATTCCAGAACTGGCTG